GCTGCCAGTGGGGCGGACCATTGGCAAGACTGGAAGGTCGTTTCCGGGCGGACGCGGGCAGCGGTCCCTCGTGGGTCGCAGGTGGCGTCGCTGGGGACGGAGCCGCGCTGTGCCTGCCGGGAGCTGCACGGGGTGGGGGGCGGGGGCTCCCCTAAAGCTTTGCACTAAGCAGGGCGCAGTCCAGGCCCCGCTCCCTAGCCTCCCGGGCAGCTGTTTGGAAATGCAGATTCAAGTGGTCTCTTGAATGTTGAGGGAGAAGGGACTGACACCTCATCCTTTTTAAAGACTCAGTTATGTCCTACCGCACCATGCCTGCAAACAGCTGTTTTGAAGGGACTGGGTTAAAACGTTAGGAACCCCATACAGCACTGGCCCTCAGGAGCCCAGGCTGCCTCCCGCAGCTCGTCAGGAACTCCTACTGGCCCGGGTGTCGCCAGGAGCCAGACTGAGGCCTGGGAGCGTGTGTGTGTGTGTGTGTGTGTGTGTGTGTGTGTGTGTGTGCGTGCGCGCGCGCGCGCGCGCGTCTAAGTGGCACCGGCACTAATGTCCCCCAAAGCCCCCGCCCCCTCCAGTCCTCCGAAGGTCCGGGAACCCTCAGGAGTACCAAGTGTCCCTCCTCCTGGGGCACAGCAAGCAGCTAGCTCTTGGGGGGGTTGGGCAGGGCCGTGCCACCACGTTTTCCACTCTGCTCCCGCTCTAGGGACTTTGGACCAGGACTGGGCTCACAGTAGGCTCCGCCCCCACCCTCCCCCGTGGCCCAGCAGGGCGAGGCCGTGCCCCGCCGGCCCCTGCTCTACTAAGGTCGGGGACTTCCAAGGACTGTTCAGGGAGAAGACAGGGAGATCCCCAGTCACAGGGAGGCCGTTGGCCCAGTTCTGCCGCAGGCTCTGCAACTTTCACCGAGCCTTCTGGGTAGATGGGCACTGAAGCAGCTTCCTTCCTAGGGCTGCTAGGGAGATAGGATAGCGTTAAAGATCACCACACCTGCCATACTTGCACTTGGGAGGCTGAGGCAGGAGGATGGCGGGAGTTCCAGACCAGCCTGGGCTACACAGGGAGACCTTCTCAAAAGACAAAGATCACACTTACAAAGGCTGCCTTGGGTGGCTGGACACGGAGCTCTACCCTGGGCCTTGCCCCATGGCAAGCTGTCCCAGGCCCTCTGTCACCTCACTTCTTAAAACACGCTGAGCTCCTGCTTCCTCCCTGCAGAGGCGCAGGGCCAGGACAGGTGCTAGGTAGCCTTGGACGGAAGAACTCAGCCTGCCACCTGTTGAGGGCACTGGCTGTGGGGCAGGCAGCTGCACAGCTAAGTGACAGAGACTGCGAGCTCGAGAGTCACCTCCACGCAGGGACAAGTGTCCAGAAGCAGCTCCTCCAGTGTCCCCAAGTGGACAGAATGCACCCCACAGCAACACCCAGAGCCACAAAGGACACCAAGTCTGCAGGTAAAAATTATACTTTTATTTGAGTCACCAGGAGAAAGATTCACTTGTGGTTCAAGTCAAGTGTTCAAAATCGTAACAGGCCCGAAAGGTCTGATTCGGAACGCAAGCCCACGAAGGAGGGGGTCAAACAGACCAGAAGGACGACGGCCCCCTAAAAAAGGGTGATCGGGAGCTTCACACACACAGAGACGGTGAAATGTTTGGACAGAGGTCAACCCCACAGGGTCGCTTGTTTCTTTTTAAATACAGCATCGTGGGGGGGGGTCTTTTTTTTTTCCAGCTATTAAACAAAATGGCCCAAAAGTGCATTATGTGAAAGTAAAAAGGCAGAAATGAAGCAATAAAAATAAAGGAGTCTTCCCTGGAGGGATATGAGGGGGGAATCGGGAAGCGGGGTTGAGGAGCTCACAGTTGTCACCCATGGGATTGGTCCCCAAAGTCATGGTCACATTCTAGCTCAGGCCTCTTCTGTCCTGGGAGCAGCCAGGTCTGCCCGACGGGAGGGTCTGTGCTGGGGTCCTGGCTCGGGGCACGGCCCTCTGGCCTCAGCACCAGTGTGGCAGGCCCTCCATTCGAAGGGGAATTTGGATGCTGCAGCCCCTCTGGTCCCTCAGGGAGAGGTGGCCCCTCCTCCCAGCCGCAGGTCTCCGAGGAAGGACACCCAGCCTCCGGTCCTCAGATCCACATTGTGCTTTGAACCAGCGCCTCCCGAGGGGCTCCTGAGGCAGCTCCCCCAGAGCCCCTTGCTCCCCTGAGGACACCACCCTCCCTCACCCGGGCTGGGGCCGGAGAGGAAAGGGGCCTGGTCAGGCAGGGGCACCGCCCGTCATATTCCCTCCAGCCCTCCTGGGGCGTCTTCCCACACCCTCAGATGGGGCTGGGGGGGCTCGGCAAGTGGGGGGCCTGGGTTGGATCCCCAGCACACAGGGCCAGCTGTGGTCTGACTCGGGACGGGGATGGGAGGAGACCCAGGGGAGGGACAGGAGATCAGAGATGAATGACGCCAGGCTGCGTTGGTCCGGGCCCAGGCTCAGAGGAGGAGCCTGGGCATAGCACCATCTTCCTGCCTCTCCCCGAAATCTGCTTCCATTTCCAGAGCCTTGGGCCCCACCTTGCTACACAGGAGGTTGCGGGGAGGGCTTGGTCCAAAGCACCGCCAGCATGGGTGACTCAGGTCCTTTGGGGGCCAGGAAGAGGACACTGTGGCCAGAATACCCTCCTCCCTGCTCAGGGCCCACACAGGGGCGCTGCTCACAGGCTGGGGGGAGGCAGCAGCGAGAACAGGGTCACAACGTGCTCCTGCAGTGGCCACACGCCCCGCCCCACCCCGACTCACTGGTCCGGGAGACACCAAGGTTCCTGCTGGCTCCAGGCCCACAAGGTGCACCCCGAGGAGTGGGGACAGGCAGAACAGCTCCCCCTGAAACCTACCCAGAACGCTTTGCCCATGCGCTCTCCCAGGGCAGCGAGCGAACTCGGGGAGAAGGCAGTGGACATATGGGGGCGCAGGTGCGCCCCCGAGAGCATTCTCCTCTCCTGTCACCCCGAGGTGGGCCCTGCCTGTCAGCAGCCCCGCTGTGAGCAGGGGACAGCCCACTCGGGGTCGCCCACAGGGCCTGGGGCGGGCAGGGGCAGGGGGCCCAGGGCAGGAGAGGCGGCCTTGGGCAGCGCGGTCTCAGCCCCGCTCTTCTATCCAGAGAAAACCGAGAAATCGGTTGAGGGGAAACTGGCCAGAGAGGGAGCCCGCGACAGTGACAGAACAGGGCTTCGGGGGGCCAAAGCGGCTGAGGGGTGGGGACACACAAGCTGTTGCAGGTCTTACAGGACAGACACGGAAGGGCGGACGGTGCCGGGCGGCAGGGGCTGGCGGCCCAGGCTCAGATGGCCTCCACGTAGTTGGCGGGCAGCATCCCCGTGTCGCCCGTGCGCTCCACGGTGCCGTACATCCAACCGTCGTCAATCTGCTGCACGTTGACGATGGTGTCCCCGTCCTGGAAGGAGACCTCGTCCTCGTCGGCAGCGCTGTAGTCATACACTGCGCGGTACCGCTTCTGGGGGGACAGGGGTGTCACGTGGGCCCGGTCCGGCTCCGCCTCTGAGGAACTCCAGAGCTGGCCGGGCGACCACAAGCTGAGAGGGGACAGGGCCACACTCCACTGCGAACCCTCACCTTCCGGAGAAAGTGTCGATCGTTTCACGGAGGACCTGGTATCCACTAAGCGTCAGAAGGGGGACAGACAGGGCCAGGGTAGGTTTAAATATCTGACATGTGCCGTTTGCTGCTAATGGGTTTATTACAAGCACCAGTATTTTCTTCCTTTTTGTTCCTTCTCAGACAGGATCTTGCTATGTAGCCCAGGCTGGCCTCAAACTCAGAGATCCTCCTGCCTCAGCCTCCCCAGTGCTGAAATTACAGGTAGTCACCACCACCCCCAGCACATGTCACAGGTGCCATTCTGTGCAAGAGGCATCAGAGAGCCAGAAAACAGAGAAACTTTAAGGTGGACAAAGTGAGCCGGCCATTGTGGCACATGCCTGTGATCCCAGCACTCAGGGAGGCTGAGGCAGGAGGGTCAAAAGTTTAAGCTTTGGCCGGGAGTGGTGGCGCACTCCTGTAATCCCAGTACTCAGGAGGCTGAGGCAGGAGGATCACTCTGAGTTTGAGACCAGCCTGGGCTACACAGTGAGCTCCAGGTCAGTCTCCATAGTGAGACCCTGTCTCAAAAAAACAAACAAAAAAAAAGTTCCAGCTTTGGCCTATGTCTCTTTGTCTTTTGGTATCAGAGATCGGACTTGGGACCTTGCGATTGTGAGGCAGGTGGTGGCAGTGCCACTGAGCTACATCCCCAGCCCTGAGACCTATCTCAAAGAAAATGGTTGGGGCTATCACTCCGTGCAAAGGCCCTGGGTTCCACTCTCAATACCAGGAAAGGGAAAAAAAGCTGAAAGAAGTGCTGAGGGCCTGTGTGCGCGTCAGTGTCAGAGCAGGGAGTGTCCCCCAAAACAGGACACAGCCCCGCCCACAGGGCCGCTTCCTCCAGCTTGTGGGGCCCTGACCTGCTCCACACACACGTGATGGGGCGCCAAGGGCTGGGTTCAGAGGCCGGGGACCCAGAACCCCTCACCACGCCCCCAGGGCCCCTACTCACCCCACCCCCACTGGGGGCGCTGCGCTGTATGGACCCAGGGGCGGCGGGCTCCTTGTAGCTGCTGTAGGCCTGCGCGACCTGCTGCGGCTGCTGGTAAACTGCACAGGGGAAGGACAGGTCAGAAAGGGCCCCCCACACCCACGCAGGACAGCTGGGTGGCCTCCCTTCAACCCCCTCCTGCACCCACACCCACCAGGGGCGCTGGACGGGGTGCGGTGGGGTTGTGGCTGCTGCTCCTGGGGCCGCCGGTAGCTGCTGCTGTCCTGGGCGTCCCTGCGGTCCGGCTCCACACCCTCACCGGCTCCGCTGGGGCCCATGCGGCTTTTCTCGAACTCCTCGTGGTACTTTATCTGCAGGGCAGGAGAGCCGGGTCAGGAAGGGTCCACAGCAAAGCAGCCAGCACCCTCCCGCTATCTCCCAAGACTCTGGGATGGAGAAGTCCCAGGCCAACCTGAATAGCAGAACAGGACACTGCCCTTCACCCCACCCTACCCCCTCCGCCACATAATCCTAACACTCTGGGAGGCCGAGGCAGGAGGATTGCAAGTCTTAGTCCAGCCCTGGCAACTTAGTGAGACACTGCCTGGAAATAAAAAATGGGCTGTGGTGTCATTAAGTGCAAAGGGCCTGGGTTCTATCCCCAGTACTGCAAAACAAAATACAGGCGTTGTGGGAGGGATGCCAGCCACCACAGGGCCACAGTAAGCTGTCATCTGCATGTGCCTGTGCCAGGGACCGGGGCATCCCTGCTTCCTCCCCTACCACCCCTCAGTGGCTCCGGCTCCCGTGTGTCGAGCTTTTCCTGGAAGCCATGCTTGTGCTGGGCATGTGTGTCACAGGCGGCTCTCAGAACCTGCCTGGCGCCTGACCCCTGCCTGCCAGAAGAGGTGACAGCAGGCTCCTTTGTTCTCGGATTTGTCTTGAGTCAGGGTCTCTCGTGTACGCAGCCCAGGCCGGCCTTGAACTCAATGCAGCGATCCTCCTGCCTCAGCCTCCCCAGTGCTAGGATGACAGGCCTGCACAGCCCCACTTGGCGATGACTGTACACGCCTGCTAGTGACCTCCGTGTTTGTGCAAGCCTCCCCAGTCATGTGTGACATAAGTGACACAAATGTCGCCTTGCACACCCAGAAGTACGTCACGGGGCACACACACAACAGCCACACAAGCACGAGACAGACAAGACGCAGGAGCACCGGGGTTTCTGTCCTGCAGCCTCAAGGGACAAACGTCCCACTGCACCCCAAGGCCCACAGGGGAACCGGGCTGGGAGGGAACCACCCAGCTGGGGAGGAAGTGGACAGAGGGACAGGCTGACCGGTTCAGCGCCACCCTGGGGCACGAGAAGGAGGCAGCCCCTGCCCTGCCATATGCCAGCAGGCTCAGCCTCGGCTCCCCAGGACCCCGCCCACCCTGTTCTGGCCTGGAGCATACGGCACAGGGGATGGGGCAGGGCCTGCTGCCTCCTGGAGTAACGGAAGGGACAAGGAGGACATGGGGCTATGACCGGCAGGCGACAGGCCAAGAGCGTGTCCCCTGGGGCACGGGTCAGCCCAGCCTCCTGTCCCTGGCCCTGCCCTGGGTGGAACTCCGCAGCCAAAAGGGGCAAAGCAGGAGCAACACACCCCATGGACACAGCCCTGAACAGGAGGAACCCACAGGATGGCGGCCCCTCTCGGAAGGTGTCACAGGCAGGCAGAGGCGACTGTCCCAGCCCACTCTTTCCCTCTGCTGTCCCAGAGATGCACAAGGTTGCCTTCGGTAGCAGGGATGGGAAAGGTCTCTGGTCTTGTTTACTCTGTCAGTGAAAACACCAAGCCCAAGAGAGATGGGAGGGCGGAACAGCATGGCAGCGGCGCGGGGACTTTGGCCCCCAGGAGGTGGCCAGCAGGGGAGCCACACGGAGCCTGAGTGGCCAGGGGCCCAGGCCCAGCTGTCCCCCTCGTGCCCTGCAGACCACCCCTGGCCGGGGCCGCCTGTGCCTCATGCCTGGTCCCTTGCTCCTGGGCCTCGGGAGAGGGCCTTTCCCCTCCAGGACTCAGGGGCCCCATGAGCCACCTGCTCCCGTGACCCCGCCGTGCACCGGGTGGCCCTGGAAAGTTTGGATGTGCGCAGGCCCGCGGGGCTGGCTGCCGGAGTCCTCAGTGGTAGGGGTTCGCCTAGCCCGAGCTGTAAACACTGTGAAAAAGTCACTACAGGAGCCGAGTGTGGCAGACACACCCACCACCCCAGCGCTCAGCCGGCTGGGGCGGGAGGATCGCTGTGAGTTCGAGGCCAGCCTGGGCTACACAGTGAAACGGTCTCAAAAATCAAAAAACCACAACAAAAAAAGGCAAAGGCAGTTCCCAGAGTCCACCGGCCCAGAGCTCTGATCTCCCGGGAGCCCCGCCCGGGGTCGCCAGGGCCCAAGCCCTGTGTCCTGGCCTGGTGTCCGTGGGAGAAGCCGAGTTCCAATGGGGTTTCAGCGACCTTCCCCGGACTCTGGCGTGACGCTGATGTTCCCTTGCCGAAGCCCCCGCTGCCTGACTGTGGTGGAAAGAGCCTGGCTCACCACACACTGCAGCCCACAGGACTCCACGGGACACGGCCCGAGGGGGCAGCGCCTGGCCAGGAGAGGAACAGGCCACTCACTGTGTGGGCCATGCAGATTCTCGTAAAACTCCCCACGCGCCGAGCTCCATCTTGTGCTCCTACATGAATTCCTCCTCCCCTTCCTCAGCAAGCCCGAGAGAAGCACAACCATTTTACAGATGACGAAACTGAGGCTAGAGAGGTAGGGAAGCCTCGGAGTAGGTCAGGATGTACTTCCAGCGCCAGCTTTAGTTCTCAGCCACCCCATGATACTGCCCTGTGAGAGATCCACAGTCCATTATCTTTTTGTTTTTGTTTTTGTTTTTGAGACAGGGTCTCACTATGTAGTTGAGACTGACCTGGAACTCACTGTGTAGCCCAGGCTGGTCTTGAACTCATAACGATCCTCCTGCCTCAGCCTCCCAAGTGGTAGGATTACAGGTGTGCGCCACCAGACACGGCTACAGTCCATTATTTTTAAAACACATAAATCTGGGCTGACTTCATTAGTAGGTTTTTTAAAAATCCAAACATCTGTCCGCAACATAATCAATAGACTGCAGCCTAATTGCACTGTGGAATATTATACAGCGTTGTAAAAGCATAAGCGATCCCTACACTGACACATACAGGTGAATCTTTCCCCCCACCCTTTTTGGCAGGGCTGGAGATGGAACTCAGGGTTTTGTACCTGCTAAGCGAGCGCTCTACACTGAGTTACAGCCCTGACATACAAGGGAATCTCTTAGCCCAAGGTGACACAAAAGAACCAAACCACAAAATATTAATAGCATATTTTCAAAATCAGATCATTTGGGAGTGCACATTGCTATGTCAGAGGCACAGGGAACTGTGCAGGCTCCAAAAGGAATGAGAAGATTCCCAGCAGGTCTGCTCAGGACCACCCGATACCAGCAGGAAACTTGAGCCCACTAACCAGTGTGCAGGGAAGGGCCACTGCAGCCTTCCTTTTTTTTGTGTGTGTGTGGTCCTGGAGATTGGGGCACAGAGCCTCAGAAGTGCTCGGTCTCCCACTGAGCCTTATCCCAAACCCCTTATTCTTAGTAGTGGTATTAGTAGTAGCAGTAGCAGTATTGGGGCTTTTTTGTGAGGCACGGTCTTGCTATGCAGTTCAGGCTAGCCCAGGTTGGCCTCAAACTCACAACAGTCCTCCTGCTTCAGCCTCCCGAGTGCTGGGATTACAGGGGTGTACCTGCACCACCACCATCACCACCACCTCAATCGGCCTGTGTTTGGTTTTTCCAGAGAGGGACTCACTATGTAGCCCAGGCTGCCCTGGAATGCCTGGAGATCCTCCTGCCTCAGCCTCCTAAGTGCTGGGATTATAGGTATGTACCACCATGCCCAGCTTCAGCCAGTTCTGAGTGTGGTTGGGGATCCCTCGGGACCTGGGGACATGGCCAGCTGGGGAGCTCTGCCTGGGGATGGGGATGGCACAGTTTTGTGAAGTGACAGCGCCCATGGGTCCCTGGCTGCTGCCCGGCCCTGGCAGAGCCTGGCCGGGAGTTCACCTGGCCCAGAGTTCACTGCGCACTGAGGCACGGTCTCAGTGCCCACCCGGGGCCGGCCTGCGCCACCCGCCACAGTGTTCATCTCATCCCTGCTGTCACTCTGGGCCACAGTGCGTTTTGCTGCTCGGATGCCAAAGACGGGACAGAGAGCTCCTGGGGCTGGAGGTCCCCAGCAGCCAACCAAGAAGGGCGGCGTCCTCTGCCTTGAGCCCCTCGGGCGGGCGTGAACACACATCCCCAACGCCTCCTGCCTTCCGCAGCACCAGGCTCGAAGCCACCCTGGCCCCTCAGGCCACCGTTGCGTCCATCGGACCGCGTCCTCCGTGGACGCACAGGCATCCCCGAGCCGCAGCACTGCACCCTGTGCCGTGCTGTCCCTGAAGGTGGCGACCCCATCCACCGCCACCCATACAGGAGGGCCGGGAGCAGGGCCTCAGAGAAGCCCCTGGGTTTTGCACCGGAAGGAAGAGGGCGGCCGGGCGGAAATGCCGCGATGTCAGCACAAGCGGGGACTGTGCCCCAGCACCCCAAGGACCAAGGGCTGCAGGGCCAGGGACGGCCTCACCCACACACCCCGCAGCCCCCACCCTTCCCTCCCCTCCACCAGCCGGGGGGCAGCAGGTCGGGAGCTCACGTTGCTGATCTGGTCCTGGGTCTTCTTGATTCTCTGGAGCTCGGGGGTGTCCGCCACCACACTGAACCCTTTGCCCTTGTTCTTCTCAAACTCCTCCTTGTAGCGCACCTGGAGCGGGAGGAGGGACAGGGTCAGCGGGGAGCGGAGAGGAGAGGCCCCTGGCAGCAGGTAACAATCCTAGGCGGAAATGCCCAGTACCGCCAGACAATGTGGGACATAAATGTAATTCCAGCCCTCAGGAGGCTGAGGCAGGAGGATGGCTTTGAATTCCAGGTCAGTCTGGGCTACTCAGTGAGATTCTGACTCAAAACAACAAACCCATTCACACTCACCCAGCAGCCACGTGCTCCCCGGAGTGATGTCATTTGTATGCACACGTGCACGCACACACACACACACACACACACACACACACACACACACACACAATCAGCCCCATTTCACACACAAGGAAACAGAGCCACCCGGAGGCCACATGTCCTGGCAGCTGCTGTTAGAGGCTCCGTTTGCCCACTGCCTGGGGTTTCCAGGGAGTGGCTGAGACGGGCTGTGCCAAAGGACAACCGTGGTGCCCGGAAAGGCGGCGCGACACAGCTGCGGCAAAGCCAATCAATGAGCCTTTGACGTCCTGGCTTCCTGGATCCACAGCCAGGGGAGGGAGAGAGGGGCCGAGACAGGGCCCCGAAATCCCAGTTTTCCTCGCTTCCTGAGCTTCTCTGCCCCTCGGTAGCCGTCTGCTCCACTCTACAGCTGCCTGCACTTCCTCCCGGGGCTGCTGTCCCCAAGCGAAGCGGGTCAGCCCAGGACAGTCGGCTGGGGAGCCCGGGAGGACAGCGCAGGAGGCACCCAGGCCAGGCTCTTCCACCCCAGCCACCCCTGTCAGGGCCGCAGCCAGCTTCCCTCCAGAGGGAAGAGAAAGGCCTAAACCGGGCACGGTGCATGGGCTGCAGTCCCAGCTACTCAGGTAGCTGAGGCGGGAGGATTGCAGATTTAAGCCCAGCCTGGGCAAGTTCCTGTCTCAAAAAACAAAACAAAACAAAAAAAACACCCCAAAACAGAAGTCACCTGGACTGGAAGAGTAGCTCAGCTCCCGTCACACCTGAAGGCTGAGCGAGCTGGGACAGGGACCCCTCAGTCGGGCGCTTGCGGGTCACCCTGGACCACAGTCTTAACCTCTCAAGGCTCAGCGCCCCCTTCTGGACAGTGGGGATCCAGGACCAGACACAGGCTGGGCTCCGACCACACCCGCGGGAAGGCTGTGAAAGCGCCGCTCCCTCCCGCTTCCTGGCTTCACAAGGGTCAGGCCCTCTCCTGGGGGAACCATTGCCATGGGAACATGGAGTGACATCAGCGGGTTCCCAGGCCCTGGAGCTGCCTCCCCTCCTTGCCAGGATGGGGAAATCATTTCACTCCCAATGCAAGAGGCTGTGAGGGTGGGGTCACTTTGGTGTGTGTGACCCCAGCCAGCCAGCTCCCCTTCTCCAGGTGGCCTAAGGGGACCGGCCAGGTGCTCTCTAAAAGCTTCCCACTCTAAAGTGGGCGTGGTGGCGCACACCTGTAATCCCAGCACTCGGGAGGCTGAGGCAGGAGGATCACTGTGAGTTCGAGACCAGCCTGGGCTACATAGTGAGTTCCAGGTCAGTCTCAACTACATAGCGAGACCCTGTCTGAAAACACACACACATAAAAAAAGAGAGAGAGAATCTCAGTGACTTCAAGTTCAAGGCCAGCCTGGATTATGTAGCTGGCCACTGTCTCAAAACAAAACAGGCCTCTGGCTCCAAAGCTGGAGACCATTCCTCATCACCCACGGGCCTTTGTCAGAGAATCAGGGCAGGGAAGATTCGAAGGGATTTCAGTGCTGCAAGGGATGGGAGAAGGCCAGGGAAGACCCGAGCCCCTTCACCAGGTCCCCATTGCCCATGCAGGACACTGCCGACCCACTGTCGGGCAGCTCACCGGAGCGGTGTGAGGTGGCTCTGGAAGGGACCCGCCTGAGGTCACCCCACAGATGTCCGTGGATGAGTGCCACTCAGCACTTTGGCTGGAAGACTCCACCCCAAGTTGCTGCAGGCCTCCCACCCTGGAAACTCCCACGACAGGGCTGGCCTGACGCCTGGGGCTCTGGACGTCCAGGGCCTTGGCTATTCAGCCCTGCTTTCTGTCTGTAGGTCCTGACTTCCTGCAGCTCTGTCCTGTTCACCGGTTAGCCAGCAAACACACGGACAGTGGGGTTTGGAAAAACGACTGGTGTCATGATCCAAGCATTTAAAAATATCATTCAGGGGCCGGGGATTTAGCTCAGTGGTGCGGCCGCCGGCCTCACAAGCGCAAGGTCCTGAGTCCCACCTCCAGTACCAAGGAAAAAATAAAAATAAAAAGATCATGCCATGGGCTGAGCATTTAACTCCATGGTACCATGCTTGCCTGGTAAGCAAAAGGTCCTGAGTTTGAAATCTAGTGCCAAAAAATAAAGATCATGCCGGGGGGTTGGGGTAGATGCCCCCTGTCTAGAAGATTAAAATGAAGATGAAGAAAAGATCATGATTAAAAAAAAAAAAAAAAAGACGGATCAGGGATTTGGCTTAGTGGTTCCACCACCTGCCTCCCTCCCAAACCCAAGGACCTGAGTTTGATCCCCAATACCCAACCCCCTCCAAAGGTATTGAACACTGGGCACAGTAGTGCACGCCTATAATCCTAGCACTCGGGAGGCTGAGGCAGGAGGATCACCATAAGTTTGAGAACAGCCTGAACTACTTGTAAGGCCTTGTCTCAAAAAGACAAAAGTATTGAACAAAATATATCAACAACCATTCCCAGTAAGTGTCTCTACTACAACCATTCCCAGTAAGTGTCTCTACTACGTGCCAAACCCATACTGTGTAACTCCTCCCCTTCTAAACAAAGGGAAAAGGTTTTTTTGGTTTGTTTTTTTGGTACTAGGGATTGAACTCAGGTCCTTGGGTTTGCGAGGCAGGCAGCGGAACCACTGAGCTGAATCCCCGGCCCAGGGAAAAGGTTTTTAAATTAGCCTGGCACAGATGGGGAGGAGGGCTAATGAGAAAGGCCAGGCTGGAAGCAGGGGTCAACGGACTCTATGTCCACTTCCTGTTCCTTTCAGACAGTAAAAGGGACATTTATCAGTGCTGGTTCACGACAGGAGAATGAGGTGTCCCCCAATTCCTGAAATCCACAGGGCAGTAACCCCACTTCACACGCAAAAGCACCCAGCACAGAAGGGTCCCAGGCCGAGGCCCCGTAGCCGGGTGACGTTCACTGGAGGTGCTGCCTGCCTGCCTCACGGCTTCTCCCAGAGCAGCAGGAGACGCAATAAAGAAGAAATGAAAGAGACCGTCCTGCTACTTCTGCCTGGGCCAGCTCAGTGCCCTCAAACCCCAGGGCTGCCTCCCCCACCCAGCCTGGTGTGTGGGGGGGGTCACAGAGCTTCGGCAGGACGGTGCCACGGTGTCCTCCCCTGCAGGGGAAACCACAGGTGCGCCAGACACCTAAAGTGCCACTTGGGGGACCAATATAGCGACAGGAAGACAAACGAAGCAGAAATAGCACCGGGAGCTCCCGGGCTGCAGGCTGCAGTGGGCCGGCGGGCAGCTCCCACTTCCTCCTCGCCCCCACGCAGGGCCACAGGAACCAGGCTGTGGCCCGCAGCCTCAGCAGCCAGGGTGGCAGGGCTGGAAGCCAGGAGGAGCAAGAATGTCTGGCAGAGGCAGGAGAGGCCCTTCCCTGGCTCCTTCCTGCCGTCAGAACCAACCAGGCTCCAAACGCAGTTCCTAGGCCACACCTGAAGCCCCACGCAGCCTGGGAATCTGCATCCCACAATCCCTGGGACCTGCTGGTGCCTGCATGGGGCTCATGGATGTCCCCAGCAGCCAGCGAGGAGCACAGCAAGCAGCCACGCCAGCTGCGCTCGAAACCCTGGGCCTGGGCAGCAAGAGGTTTCCACACTCAGGGGCCCCACCTGTGCCATGGGACGGGTGCCCCCTCCCCAGGTGGCTGTGAAGGGTTAGCGAGGCCCGGGATGCCCATGTGCGCAGGTGCAGCCTGGCCTCTTGACCCCCACAGCCCTGTTCCCTGCAGGGACCCAGGTGAGCGGCAGGCCAGGCCCAGGGGGCAGAGAAGCCTCCCACCAGGGCACCGCAGCTGGGACAGAGACCAGGCCCAGTCCTGGCCCTCAGTGCACCACCAAGCAAAACTGCAGTCCGAGACCCGGGACTCTGAGGGAACAGATCTCCCACTCTAACCCCAGTTAAGAGACTGAACCCCGATCTTTCACACTAAGCTACACCCCCAGCCCTTATTTTTCCTCATTTTGTTTTGAGACAGGGTCTCACTTTGTAGTCAGGCTGTCCTTGAATTCACAGCGATCCTCCTGCCTCAGCCACCCGAGTGCTGGGATCACAGATGTGCACCACCACATCCAGCTTTTATTTTTATTTTAAGACAGGGTCTCACTGGGCTGAGGATTTAGCTCAGTGGTTCTGCCACCTGCCTCAAAAGCACGAGAACCCAAGGTCAATCCCTAGTACCCCCCCAAAAAAAGGACAGGGTCTCACTAACTAGCTAAGTCATTAACTTGCTCAGGCTAGGCTGGAATTTGAGATCCTCCTGCCTCAGCCTCCGAGTGCTGGGATGACAGGCATATGCCACCACGCCCAGCCACACCAATGGCTTCTTGCTCTGTGTCCCCTACCCAGAGTGTACCTCTCCCCTACACTGCAGGGCTCAGGAAAGCCATAGCCCTTCACACCTGCCCTCCAGGGATGGAAAAGGTTTGGGATCACTGCCTGAGGAGGCTGTGCAGCCTCAAACTGCAGAGAGCTCCCTAAACCCAGCTCTGTGACTGGGCTGGGTGTAGGTGGAGCTGCTTCCTGGAGGAGGCGGGCTTTTGGGGGGGCCTGGGACGGCCCAGTCAATCAGACACTTACCTCTCCAGGAAGCAGGGCCTGGCTCTGGCCCAACTAAAGTCAGGAAGTGCGAAGCAACCGCTGGGGGCAGGGACGGAGCAGGATTGCAGCTTGTTGGCCGCAGATCCGCCCGCAGGGGAAGGAGTCCAGGCCAGGCCAGGCCCGCTGCCACCACCCACCCACACGCCCACCTGCCCTACCTGGCTCTGAAGCTCACTCTGCTGCTTGAGGCGAAGATTTTCCGGGGTGTCGGCCACCATGGTGAAGGACTGCTTAGGGTAGTGTCTGCGGGACAGAACGGGGGCGTCACTCATAGCAACCCTTTCTCCTCGCCTGGGCACCCCCTTGCCAGCCCAGGACCTGTGGCCACCGCTGTCCCTGAGCACAGGACAGTGCTTCTCAGACTCAGCCTGGGTCACAAACCAGCGGCTGTTCCTCAGCCCCAGGACGGTCTCACCAGGATGGGGAGGGCGTGGGGTCTGAAAAAGACCAGGAGCAGAAGCCAGGGGGCGTCTCAGTCATCCTGGGAGCCGACAGGGTTTGTGCAGTGCTGGGAATCGAACTCAGGGTCCCAGAGGGCTTGAGGCCAACACGACCCCTGAGCCATACCCCACGGCCCGGCTAACTAGAGGGTGGGGAGCAAAAGCAGCGTACCCAGCCGGCAGGGCCCCAGGACACCCTCACGTCCCACCTCTGGGGTCCCAATCTTGTCTCCCTGCCACTCTCCAAGGTGGGACACAGCTCTGGTCTCTGTGCACGGATCTATCCCAGTGCTCACACGAGGCACTGGAGCTGGGCCAGGACCAGAACCTGTAGCTCTATGTGCCCCACCCCCCGCCCAGGTCACTGTGAGGTCCTGCAGCAAAATGGGCTCCACTGGCACAGGAACAGCGGCGGCTGCGTGGGCCCAACTATTTCAGGGACCGGAGGGCGGCTCCTCCACGCCAGGACCCAGGTCTGGTCGCCTTTAACTCTGGGTGAGCATGTCCACCGCACCGTGACCACCGCAGACCCCAGGGGCAGGACGCAGGGTGGGCAGCCCGGCCAACGGGGCCATGGCTAGAAAGGCAGAGTGGGGGGGCCTGGTAAGTCCTCTTCTGCTCCGGGCCTGTCTGGTGAGGCTGGCCACCCACGCCAGCCCCGTGGGCAGTGAAGGAAGGAGAGAGGCAAACACAGGTGCCTGCAACAGAAACAGCCCACAGATGAAGGCAGGGGAAGGCGGGGTCCGCCCCAGGCCTGGCCCTGGTCCATGCAGCCAGGGCCACCCACAGCTCAGAAGCGCGTTCACCGGGGCACTCAGGGGAAGGGGGAGCTGGGCAGACAGCAGTGAGATCCCAGCAGAATGGCCGGCCCTGAGCTCCTGGGGGGACGGTGAGGGCAGCATTTGTAAGTACGGACGCACAGGGCCAGGCGTGCCAGGTCAGTTCTGAGGATGAGGCGGCGTCAGGAGGGACAGGGCAAAGGGGGTACCAAGCACAGGTCTGGGGGCCGCTGCAAACCCTGGGTTCTGCATTTGCAAGAAGGCACAGGGTTAAATCAGGCCACCTGTTCCGGTGGCCCAAGGACAGCCAGACACGAGCTCACCCCGTACCCTGCCCTCTCCCCAGAGCCGCAGCTCCCGCCCCCCTGTGCCACCCCCATGCCAGGGGCTTACACACGTGCGCCCTCCCACAGTGGGCATCTGCGGGACACAGGGCAGCTGTGTTACGCTGTCACGCACGCCCCACACCCAGGCCATGTCCCTCCCTTGTCATGTGGCTCAGGATGGAGTCAAGGGTGCTCTGTCCTCTCTCAGGGGCCCCGTTATCCCCAATCTCCGCCCTCCAGAGCCCAAACACTAATCCATCAAAAAGTACACGGGTGGGTGAGCCAGCCGAGACTTTAACTCAGTTTAATTTGGCAGGGGCTTTGAGGATTTTAATCTGGCAGCAGATTAACTAAATTAAAGAGAAGCTCTGGGGCTTCCGACCTCCTCCTGCACAGGGCCACTTCCCCCGCCGCAGCCCGCAGCCCCCAGCAGCCCCCAGCCCCCGTGAGACAACCAGCGGCTCCCTCCCCTGCTCACTGGCTCCAGGTTCCCATGGCAACCGCATCCTAGGCTCCAGGCAAGGAGAGCACAGGCAGAGCAAGGGGTCTGCGGTGTATGGGGGCAGGGAAGGGCCGCAGACAGCACGGGCGTCCTCCACCAGGGAGAGGCCCACGACACGGAGGCCACACCAGGAGGCTTCGCAGGCGCCGGTCACAATGAGGTGAGGAGGACAGGCGCCGCCTGTCCCCTCCCCCGCCACCCCTTACCCTGATTCCGGGAGGGACGGAGGGGGTGTGTGCCTGTGTGGTGCGTGTGTGCGTGCTCATGTGCACAAGCACACACATGGACTCTAAGACACAGGGACACCATCCCAGCTGGAACCCAGCCCAACAGACAGGACAGAGTGAGAGGCGGTAGGGCAGAGGCCAGAGCACAGAGCTCTTTCCCAGGCCAGTCCAGGCCCCACTCCACTCCCCCGGCTGCCAGGAGCTTGAGGGAACAGCTTGCTAGGACAGGATGCCCGGAGACAGGGGAAGGGCACAACCAGAAAGTCTGCTGACCTGGAAGAAAGGGTGCGGGCAACAGCCTGGCCTTCAGGACATGGCACATCGTAGCCCTGTCCTATGTCCCATGCACCCCACCCTGAAATTCACTGCTGGACTTCTGTATTACAGGCCAAGTGTGCTGATGCACCTGTCATCCCAGCACCGGGGAGTCTGAGGCAGGAGGATTGCTGAGAGCTCAAGGACAACCTGGGCCACTCAGTGAGACCCTGTCTCAAACTCATCAACAACAAAATTCTAAAAGTAGGGGTCTTCTGGGGACGGACAGTGACCTGTGAGGGCAGACAGGCAGCCTACGTCCCAGGAGAGGGGCCCTTCCTGCTCCAAAGGCCTCAAGGGCAGGGAGGAGCTGAGAAGAGATAAGGACTCTGAGGTGGCAGGGAAGGAGTCTCCCCCTGCCATCAGCTCCACTCCAGAGGCAGAACAAGGGTAGAGCACAGGCCTGACACTCACCTCAGCCCTTCCAGGTCCGGACCCCTTCAAAAACCACAGCTTTAGCGGGCCGTGGTGTCGCACGCCTATAATCCCAGCACTCAGGAGGCTGAGGCAGGAGGATCCATGTGAGTTCGAGACCAGCCTGGGCTACATAGAAGTTCCAGGTCAGTCTCAACTACATAGTGAGACCCTGTCTCAAAAACAAACAACAACACAGCTTTGTGTTCAAGGAGCAACAAAAATACATGGACAAAAGTAACAAGGAACTTAAGGTTTTACCAAATAGGAAAACAACAACAACAAACACCATAAAAACAGCCCTGACATCCTGCCTCGGGTCAGAGCTGTGGATTCCAAAGTCCCTGCTAGGAGCCCACTTTCTCAGCCTCCTCTCCCCTTCTGTTCCCCAGGCCCAGGGGCACAGCTGGGGACAGGAAACAAGAAGGCTCTGTCTGACCAGAGGGGGAAACAGACAAAAATCAGAAAGATCAAGGGCAGACTGGAAGAAGAACTTCCCAGCCCTCAGGGACTGCAGAGCTAAACACAAATGAAAAAGAAAACATTACAGCAGAGCTGAGCCTGGTACACTCCCTAGCACTCTGGAGGCTGAGGCGCGCGGGGTGGGAGGTGGGGGGCGCAGGGAATACAAGGCCAGGCTGGGCTACACAGGAATCCAGCAACACAGACTGTACCCTACTCCCCTCAGGCCTCAAGGAGGGGGCAGGAGCACAGTCCCCAGCCCCCCAGGATTAGGGAGGGACATCGCATCCTCCCAGCCCCTCACCCCACACCTCTTGCAAACTGCTGGGCGAACCCTGACATCTACAGTGGATGACAAAGGAAGAGGTGCAATGGTCCCAGTCAACACCAGGCCCTTGGCACCCCAAAGGCTGGTTCCCTGCCCACAGCCACGCCCAGGGGCTGGGATTCTTTCGCAAGACCAGGAAGCAGGTACCTCCTGGGGCCAGGAGTTGGTGAATCCAGTTTACAAAACAAATCAGCAAGGGCACCAGTGCTCCTCCAGCCAGAAGGGCAAGCTCACCCCACCCACCTGGAAGTCAGGAGGTACGGAAGCCACCCTCTGCTCCAGTCACTTTCCAGTGTCAGCCTGGCACCCAGTACCCTGGTAAAGCGCCATTAGATACCAACCACCTGCACCTGTGGGGCCTGCAGAGGGACAGGGGTGCC